CACTCCGAAGTGCGACACGACGGCGGCCGCCTCCCTCGGGTGAGGCGGCACAGCGCTGCATTACGCAGCCGAGCGCGGCCACGTCGCGGCGGTGAAGGCGTTGCTGGCGGCCGGAGCCGCAGTGAACGCAGTAATGAATAGTGGCCGGCGGCCTCAGGACAGGGGTCGTGTATATCCCGATGGGCAGCTTTGAATGAGATGTGCAGAAGATGAGCGAAGCACACTTAGTCGACAAAACCTGGCGGGGGGTTTTGCCAAAAATCGCGCAATCCATGTTTAATAATCGCACAAAAATTTGCATATATGCATTGTCCACACTTTTGGCATGTGAGTCAACTATTCGCACGTTATTTGCGTTCGATTAGCCATTCTAATTCTACCACTCGGAATCCTCCGCCCCTCCCTGGTGCGCTTCCCTGGAGCTCCTCTCGGGGGCGCCCCGCTCTCCATCCGGGTCCGTCGGATCGAGGTGACACGCCGCTGCACAAAGCGGCGAGCGGGGACCACTTGGAGGTCGCCCGGGCGCTGGTGGCGCACGGGGCGTCGCCGGATGTGAAGGACCTCAACGGCCGCGGCCTCGGGGCGTCGGCGGTGCCGAGGCGCGACGCGGTCGAGCCGCGGCGCACCGGACGCCTCCGAGGTTTCACTCCTGCAGCGTTGGCGCCTCGCAAAACGGCGGTCGCGGAGTTCTTGGAGGCTCGGACCGCGGCGGCCAGCCCAGCGGGAGGGGAGCGCGGAGTGTGGAGTGCACGCCGGAAAAAGAAAGACAATCATGGAATTCTCCACGGAAGGCCCAGACGCAGATTGAACATACTTTTCACATCTCAAGAGAAGAAACCTAGTATAGCTGTTTGTGGCTGTGCCATGCAGAAGTCCATTTTCTGATGTGACTTTCGGGCCCCTGATGTGACTTCCAACTTTTCAGGCCGTATCATTGGGATGATGTGACATAATCCAATTGATGTGACTTAGCCACCATGCTCGTAGTAAAAACGGACATAATGTTGGTGTTTTTTACCCTTTCTTTCCGTGGTTTGCCCATTTTGGGGCGGACACCTGTGGCCGCCACACCTCAGACTCCTCGGACTTCGAGCAAAAGATAGAAACCTTTTAGACCTCTTTTTGGCCTTTGCGGCATGGCAAACATGTAAAAATCATTCGTGAACATGTAACTTGACATTTTCCAAGTTCCCCTCTTCACTAGTGGTAGGGATGCTTCACCCATCAAAATTTGAATTTCTGATGTTCAACAGGAATTTTCAGGGCATGTACGTACCTTGACTGGTTCTTGTTGTCAATTGTGAAATTCTTTCCGCATTAAAAGACATGTGGCCGTTTGTCAGACGAAACTTCCTTTGCGCATGTTCCTTTGTCCTTTATGTTTTTTGATGACCCTTTCAAATCAAGTGGCATGGCATCAAGTGCGATGGCTCACATTGTGTCTTGTGTTTTGGGCAGATATATACTTGTTTGAATCTGTTCTTGAAATCAATTCGTTCACTTTCTTCTAGTGATGCCAGGCAGAAGCCAAGAAATAAGGAGACAAGGTCTTTGCGGTGTCGACTTGACTCTAAACAACCTAAAGCTTGGCGGGTTGCCCACCCAGGAGAAAGCAGTTTCAACTGAGTGCGCTGCTATTTTTGCGCATTTGCTTTGTCTCAGCTTTGAAGCGATGTTGCCAGGGCATAGCAAAAAGAAAAAAAGAAAAGAGAAGAGAAGAGCTGCACTTCTTCCAAGAGGCCAAGCACGGGCTGCGCGAGGTTTTGTTGAAGGGGATGCCGCTTTGCTCCGGAATTCGTTTCACTACCATGTTGATCTCATTCTCTTTGCAGTTTGTTCTCAGTTTTCTGGGATGAACTCATAGTTTTCGGAGTTTGGGGGTGCGACGCTCTGAAACCTTGCCATAAACCAGGCTTGCAGATGCTTTTGGTCCACGAGGCACGCGACTGGGGTTGCTGTCACCCAATTATCCACTCCAAGGTCTTTCTGAGTGGACAGATTCGCTAGAGTCACTGAGCAGTCGAAGATGCATCTTCCTGGATCTATCTACAGCGCATCCTGCATCCTCATTAAAGCATGAGTCCATGCAAACCAGTGTGTGTGTGTATGTACAACTGTACAAGCACTATGGAAAACCGTTTGTCCTGTCTATGAGTGTGATGTTGGCCAGGCTGAGGGGACTCGTGGAATCCAAGACCTTTTCGCTGCACGTCGGGTGGCAGTGCCACCGAAGGTGTTCACGCCTTGACCACGACCGCACCGTGCGCCGACAAAAGAGACCGTTGGGCGGTAAATGGAAGACTGCAAGCAACACATGTTTTGTGCATTCAATCGCGAACTTGTCTAAAGCAAAGGCCCTTGCAATGATTGGTTTTCTGAAATTGTGGCCGGTGTTGCCTGTGCTGAATTGCGATGTTCACTTGTTTCTTGACGGTTGGTAGTTGGAGTATGTTGGATTTGGAGACCTCCAAACAATATCCCAGACGAGTTGGAATGGTCACAGGGTCACCCTGTTGCTTTTCAATCACACAGACATCACGTATAGAATCGTCTCAATGGATTTTTCACTGGATCTCTACATGCAATTATACATATATACTTAAAATACCCTTTGGAGCCAGCCGCCCCTCCATTCTCGCTGCCGCATCGAACCCAAAGCTGTCCCAACGGTTCCGCTGCTTGGGCTCCAAAGAAGGGATCGCTTTTGGTCGCTCCCAGCGGACGCCCCGGGACACGGGCCGGACGGCGGTTTGCGATGATGTGGACCTTTCAGGTCGCGGGGACGTGGACGTGTAGGGGGAGCAGAAGTCTATCGATCACAGAAGGAGAAAAGGGCAGGACTTGACTTGACATGCAAAAGACCGATGTTGAAGGTCATTGGACATCTTTTTTTTTGTTCTCCACGGAGAGTCGGAGGTTGTTGTGTTTTCTTTAAAGCCGAGGTCACATGAAACCCGCGTTGTGAGAACCACAACCTCAATCACAACGCTACAACCATTGGCCCCAGACGATCTGTGTCAATCCGATTTGTTTTGCGCCGATGAACACGACGAAGCCATGCACCTTTTTATCGGAGGGGGGGTTTCACAACGGGGCGCGCTGCAGCACGTTTCAACCAACAAAAAAGGACAACGGCTTAAGAACTCCAGAACTTCCCCCTTAGGACGCCCGATGTCCTTTTTGCTACCACGCGCCTACAACACCGTTCGTCGCTGCCAGGCGCCGTCTCTCTCGAAGAGCAACTCCTTTACGCCCGGGTGCGCTCGGCCGCTTCGGGTGATTAGGAAATGTATGTCATGCTTTGACACAGACTCTGTTTCGGAGAGTCTCAGTCCCAGGGTAAACTTGTGGAGTCCATCCAGATCTGTTCTCTCCGAATTCTGTTCTTTGTCCAAAAGGATTCCCCCCCAAATCTCTCTGCAAGAATGGACCCTTCTCCCGGAGGCAGAGCTGCTGGGGATCGCCACCGCAGCAATGGCCCCAGAGGCGGTCGGGAGTAGAGCGTAGAGCGGTCCGGGTGGGTTTGCTCTAGCAGTCGGTGTGGAGATTGGAAGGAGAAAAAAAGCACAGAAAGAAAGTGTTCGAACGGTTTTCGTTTTTTTTTTTTAAGAGAATCAGATTCAGATCAAGCGAAACATCTGCAAGACGACAATTTGGAAGGTGAGTTGCTATGAACCTTGGGTGAAAAGCATATAGTTGAGACCCCATGCTTCCTGAGTATAACGTTATAGAGAAGATTTGTGAAGATGCGCCAGAGCAACAGGATGTCATTGCTTTTTGAGGAGAAGGAATTTATGAAGAACCACCTGCAGTCCCACAGTATTCAGTCAATCTTCCAAATGTGTCCTTGACGTTCCGTGATCGTCCAACAGTTCATCAAAGTCCCTTGGCCTTCCTACACTTTGTTTACTATTTGTTGATCGTTTGTCCACTTTGGGCTGGTCTCCAGCACCAAGGGATAATCTTTCAAGTACATTCTTTTTGTCAGAGAGCAAGTGACAAAATGCCAAACATGCAAGGGGCCAAAGCAGCATCACCAGCATCATTGCTTTTTAAAGAATGTAACACTATTCTCCATATCCAGAGAAAGACTGGCAAGATGCTACCCCGGAAAATGTATTCCTTAGCAAATTAGTTGCGAATCAGGAAGGCGGGCAATCGAAGAGGAATTCTTGCATCAGCTATGATTGGTGTGACGATCAAACGAAAGTGTCGTTGCAGCCTGGACCTTTGCTGTTTGCAGGTACGTCGCGAAGCCACACCCACCACCGCAGGCCATGCGAAGCCAGTGGATATCAGTGTATCAATGGCGGTCTGTGGAGGTCATTTGATGATTGACTGGTTCTGAGCCAAACCAGGAGCCAAACCGATTACCGTCGAAAGAACACGACCTGTGCCACTCAGACGCCGGCGCCAGGTCTTCCGCAGCTCGGTGCTCACGGAGCGCTACAGCCACGCTGGACGCCCGGAAGGCCCAGAGAAGGCGGTGGCCGGCAAGGCGTAGAGCGCGGGCTTGCGCCTTTGTGTGTTGTTGGGTGTTCTTTCGTTTTGTGTTCTGAGATGTAGTTCCAATACATCAGTCCATCCTCAGTCCATCCGGGTCTATCAAATCCACAAAGATTTGTGATTGCACTGCGGTGGATGAGACACCACCAATCCAAGATCGCTGGCGACTGAGGACCGGCCTCTTCCTCCCCAAGGCCTTGCTATTCCTGGAGGCACCTTGCGAATGATATCACTGCGAAACTGGGGAAGACTGGCAATGCGCATGGTCTCAGCTAGTACCCAGCGGCTTCATCATTCGATGTTGGCAAGGATTTTCATTGACATTGGTGGTGAGAAGAGGAGAAGAGATAGAAGCGAAGAACTCCAACACACCCAAACACCGTCATATAGGAAATGCCACGCCCCAAACCACATCAAACAGCGCCCAAACTCACATCTTCATCATTACATGCCCAAACACATCCCAACGAACACACTCCCCCACTCAACTTGAAGAAAAAAAGCGACGCAAAAAAAAAAAACACACACACCGAACATGAACCGAACACGTTTTTCGTTTTCTTTTTTGCTCATGAAACGGACAGTGAACCGAACACACTCGCGCGAGCCGCGAGCCCAGCCGGTTCTGTCGCTGTCGGGTGCAGGTCCCGAGCCTTGGAGCCTCTGGCGTCGGGAGCCGAAGACGACGTGGGTCGTTTCAGGGTGGCGAGGGGTATGGAATCGTTGTGTGTGTGTTTGATTGGGTGTTTTCTATAGTGGATAAACCAGAGATGAGAAGGAAAGATCCCAACTGTTTTTTGGAGAACGGTTTTTCTCGGTCTTGGTTTGCAGCTCAGTGTCCTTCAGGAAGCTGTTTAGGTGTGCAGTGTTTCAAGATCACTGTGAGGGGGACTCCCGAACACTTGCAACATTTCTAAGTCTTTGTCCAACAACAAGAAGCTATACTAGTAACAAAGGGCATCGCCACTAGGAGCAAGGACGCTACTAGGGGCTCCTGGCATCGCTACTAGGAGCATTCTCACTACTAGTATCAAGAAGCAAAAAGGAACAAGAAGCAAAACACTAAGGCCGGCGTCCTTGTGCCGGGGTGTCCCAGAAACATGGTGCCGGGTGTCGTGCACCCGAAGCGTGGAGATTAAACAAAAAAACATCGAACAGACAGTTATATTAGTTAAGTTCATGACATGACATTCTTCTCAGGCTTGGTGTTCCTGATGTTCCGGCGTCCTTTCAACTTGTTGTCTTGTTGTCTTTTGATTGACTCAATGTGTTGAATCTGTCTGGTTTGTTTCTTGTTTTGCAAAGCTTTTTTGATGTTTGGTTTTGCGAAAGCTCCGTCTCATCCGTCGAGGCGTTCCTCCCGCCAAGCCCGTGGAGTTGGGAGGCGCGCCGAGCCGTTCGGAGCGCCGTCGTCCATGGCGTCCCGGGGAGACCGGTGCAGGAGAATGGCAGAGCAACTGGTTTGCAACTGTAAATGTGAATCTTGAAGAGTTCAGCGTGGGAAGTTTGGGAATAAACCATCAAATTCTCAGAAGTCAATTTATTTAAAAGGGTGAGTCAACTGCTGATTGACGTCGGATTCCCAGCAGCTGTCTGTGGGAGGCCCCCGGGCGCCACATCCGCTGCACCAAAGTGGGGGAGCCCTGGGAGAGATCCGACCCCGGACGTCTGTGAAGTGCATTGCCATGACCATCACCATACGTGTTTTGTTGGGGTCAAGTGGACCTGGATATTGGGATTCCAAGCCTTAGATGTGGAGTTCGTTGAGGTGTTTTGTGGAAGTCTTTGAGGTGTTCCCTGGATTGGTTTGTTTGCTGTGTTTTCTTTCTTTTGATTTTCTTTCCGGTGCTTTTTGGACCTCGGAGTGTCGAAAGTGGTCGATCCTGCTTTTCGAGGTCGTCCCACGCTGCTTCGAGGACCGTCCAAAGCGAGAGATGTTTGACGCGGTTTTTGGCGAGTTTTTTTGGAGAAGACAGATGGGGAAGAGCACTGAAATCGCCCCTGTCAACACGCCAGAAGTTGGACTTCAAAGTGGCCAGTCCCCCCCATCCCACCGCATTACGTGGGTCGGACGGCCCCTTTTGGACCGGAGGACGGCAGAACTCCTTGCCCCGACGCACCTTCAAGTCGGTGACCCGCGCCCGGAAAGCTCAGAAGCGACGGAGGAAGCGAGAGGATGAGATGGAAAAACGGCTGTGTGTTCAGGTGTGTGTGCTTTTTGTCTCAGGTTTCTTCTTATTTTTTGGGGGGGAGGTCACAGGAGCCTTGTAAGGTGCTGTACCCGCCTTGCTTCACATCTCACCAAATCCTCTATAGGGGATAAAGATTTAGTGGGGGATCCCAACCTAGCTTGTGTTCTCTTTCAAGGTTTAAAGAAAAAGACTTCTTCAATAGTGTTTGGAACCCTTCTCCAACAAACATCCAAAGACCAAGTCAAGCAGACCTTCCCTCCCTGTTCGTCCCCTTTCGTCTGCCATTGCGCAGCGAGGCGCGCACCCCGCCGCTGCAGACGCGCGAGCGCAATCGCCAGCGGGTCGAGAGCGCCTCCCAGGCCGGTCGGGGGCTGGGCTGGCCGCTCGGCGTGCTCAGGAAGTGGCGCGAACGGCGCATGGATCCAACACACGGATTCCGTGATGAAGCATAGGGAAGTGACAGGTGAACACGGATGGATGCTTGGATGAAGAGCTGGAAGTGTTTTGAAGAAAAAGGAAGCCGGTTTCTCGCGGTGAAAGGATATCAGGAAACAAGCTGCCACACTTCTGGGAGCTGAGCTAGGTGTGCATAAGTCCGGTCTGTCATGGTTTCAGAGCCAAGGAGCCAAATTAAGGCACAGCATAATGCAACCGGAAAACCACTGACTGTTCGATCACTTTTTCTCACCACGACGTTGCAAAATGAGCCTGTTTCGGATCATCCCGAACCAAC